CAAGCCTTGGATGCAGAACAGAAGTCGAAAGCTGAGCATGCAAGACTGAAGAAGAAGGCTGAAGTTGACTTGGCCGAGCTCGAATCTCAGATTGACACATCGAACAGAGTCAATGCTGACCAGTCCAAGACCATCAAGAAGTTGCAGCAACAGATGAAGGAATTGCAATCCATGCTTGAGGATGAGCAACGGGCAAGAGATGACGGCCGTGACGTCACTGCTCGCTCGGAGAGACGTTGCAATGACTTGCAGCAAGAACTCGACGAGCTCAAGATGGCATATGAACAGGTAATCCTGCGACTTTTTCGAAGATTAGAGAATTGTATTGGTCAGAATCTTTGTTAGTAAAATCTTTGTAAAAGAGACATTTTAACACGAAGTTTTGTTCGAAAGTGAAATTTTCAAGTTTGTACTAAATATTCAACAAAGCAATAATTTGGTATCCGCTATTCTCTAAGATTTTTTTAGCCTATCTATTCGATATAAATGTAAAGAAAGTAATAATTCTCTCGATGCAATTTTAAGAGCTGCAAAATCTCTCTTAATTGATTTTATCTTAAATGCACTTACTGTTCATTTTTTGATAAACAAATGTTAAAGTGTTAATTTTCTTTGGCGATAGATTGAGCGTGCAAGAAAGTTGGCTGAGAACGAACGCAACGACAACAACGATAGGGTGCATGAATTGGCACAACAAATCCAGGTATTGCAGAATTCGAAAAGAAAGGTTGAAGGTGACTTGCACTCTGTTCAAGAAGAGATCGAAGAATTGGAGAACGAGGCAAGAGCAGCTGAGGACAGAGCAAACAAAGCTTTGGCTGAGGTAAAAGAATAAGAATGGTGTTTATGATTTAGCAACGTGGGAAATCGTAGAAATGTGGAAATTCGCTCTTTAGGCCTCGCCGCTGATTTGTTTCGATCATCTGCTTCGATTGTCACAATGCATTGGTATCCTTGTAGACAAATTTGTTTCACTTCATGCTTTAGAACCCAATTCCACACAAGCATACTAATTAATTATTATCCGATTTCTACACGGAGTTTTGTGGACATTTCATAATAATACCTATATTCTAAGCACATGATTTTTACACAAGGTTGCAAGAATGCAAGCAGAGTTGGCTGCAGCACAAGACTCAGCATCCAGTGCCGAAAAGGGCAAATCGAACTTCGAGAAGCAGTTGCGTGACATGCAAGGACGACTTGAAGAGGCCGAGGCAGCTGGAGGCAAAAACTTGAAAGCCCAGATAAGAAAATTGGAACAACGTGTATGTATTCAATTTGTTTTTCGAATCAAGATTTGGATACCCGTCTTTGATAGTCGGTAATAGTTTCCAGTTCATAAGATCGAGCTGGAGGCTATTGATATCTTTCATCGTGGCTTTTTACATCAATGTCAAAACCTTCCAACATAATGTCAAAACCTTTCATCGTAGCCTTTAACACTAACTTCAATACTTTCATAGAAGCTCGCAGATAACTACCAAACATCCAATAGTATTTTCCTACCAAAAATATTAAAATATTTTCTGTTTTTTGAAAGATATTTTTGTATTTTAGTGCCGCGATCTTGAAGCAAGCTTGGACGACGAGTCTCGAAAGAATGCCGAAACAATTAAGAACCAACGCCGATCCGAAAAGAAGTACAAAGATTTGCAATTCCAGATGGAAGAGGATCACAAGAACGCAGAGCGTGCCCAAGAACAGGTTGACAAACTGAATGCAAGACTGAAGAAGATGAAATCACAGCTCGATGAAGCGGTATGTTCTGTACATCGGCATACGGCGACTGATGCTGATCAAGTTGCTAATGTTGACTGTTCTGTTGAAATACCAACGATGAAATATTGTTTTACGTCTTTGCAACAAAGTTCATACCATATTGTCTTTCATACCTAGCTAAAGTTAAGTTTTTTATATTTACGCGTACGGAGTAATAATTACAAATGGCAACTTCTTTTGTCATCTGTAGGAGTCTTCAGCACAGCAGAATCTTGCCAAGTTCAAGAAGGCTCAAATGGAGTCTGAGGATGCAGAGGAACGGGCAGAGGCAGCCGAGCAAGCGCTCCAGAAAGCACGGGCACGTGCTAGAACTAGCGCAAGCTCAGGAGCAGCAACCGGACTTAGAACGGTAAGAAATCAGCATCAATAGTTTAGCACCAGCAGACTAGTATAGAGCAAAAATGAGGGCATTTTCAAGTTAAAATTTGTTTAATCATTTAATAAATCATCTTTGTTCTTATTACTAACAACTTGACAATTAACCTTCTTTAGATGGATATCAACTTCCATATCAATAACTTCCACCAAAGAATTTACCAAACTGACGTCTTTTTGTTACAAGAATATTTTGTAAAACCCTAGGTTTTGCTTTTGCGGTGTTTGCATCTATTGTTATTGTCACCTTAAATGTAGCGATCTTAAACAGCGTATTGCAGATAAAAATTGTAGAAAGGTATTTAAAAATTTAATTGTTAGCTTAGTGTTAGTAGTGATGGATAGTTCTTGGACGAATTTATAAACACATTACTTTTTATCAGTGTCGTATTGCGTTGTATTTACCACAGAGACCGTTAATGAGACTTGTAAGTCCTGCTGACTAGTTTCTTCGTTTTAATAGTACTTTCAGAATTGGCGGGACTATTACCCATCATACTATAATAGAAGCTACAACTACAATCCGGCACCGATGTCAAGGTCACCGGAAAGTAGTCCAAGAGACTCGGATCGCTCAGAAGTCCGTCCCTTAGCGGAGTCGACTAGACTGGATACGTCAACAGACTTGAGTAGATCGTGATTGGTAGAGAGACACGGGAGAATGGAGTTAGTTTGTAGTCATGTTTAGTTAGATTTAGACGCAGTTCAGTGTTCTTTTTCATGAGATTTTATTTGAAATCATGATTTACTGCCGATTTGGACAATTAATAGTCAGATCTATTTGAATACTCTGGACTCACTTCTAGGAAAAAACCAAATGCTTTTCAGTTGTAGCTGGAATACAAGATGTTTGCTAGTAAAACTGTTATGATAGTATCTCTTGTATCTAGTTTTTTCAAATTATTTGTTGAGTGTATTTTACATCTAGTTCTTTTAGTATATTTTCCTCGGATACAGCTCTTATTTGTGTGTGAAAAGGCTGTGAATCGTGTCTTCATTTGTACAAAGTTTATTACTGAATATCTGTTCTACGAAACTATAAAGTTAGAATTATATTGTCGTTTCATGTACCTTGAGATATTGTAGTATTTCAGACATCTTGGCCAATGCATTTGTTAAATTCTTTTGATGTGTTAATTGCAGGGAAGCCGAGCCCCAAGTGGAGCCAGGACACCAAGAACACGTGGCGGAGCTGAAGAATAAATACAAGCAAAACTGCAATGAACAATAAAATAAACGTTAGGACCCCGAATTCCAAAAAAATAAGGACGACGATATTTATTCAAATCCTCTACCTCATCGCTCTTGGTAGCTAGGATAAATGCTCTTTTAAAACAAACTGTCTGGTGTTAATTGTAGAATATTTCATCTCTCGTTACGAAGTTAGCATCTCAGCATTTTTAGTACTTTTATGATTTTTTAGTCTAACTGCGTGTATAAAGTTCAAGAATCATTCATCGATAGCAATTTTTCTATACAATCTACCTGTAATAATTTTTGATCAATTTCAATTTTCTATGATTGCTTTACCATATTAAACTACTCGAGTTCGTTTATATTGTACTTCTCTGTGTATTGTCATACTGCAATGAGTAGTTTATAATCGTCAACGTATTTGGTAGCTTGCGCCGCAGACCCAATCCTCCAAAGAGTCTGCGGCGCAGGCTACGTATTTGGTCTTTATGCAAAAAACGTCATCGAAAAGCAAATTTTACTGAAAAAACGACAATTTGGCTTATTTTAAAAGAAATTTGCAATTGCTTGCTGTTTGCTGGTATCACAGTCCCGTTTAAAGATTCATTCCATGCCCTTCAAATAATTTCATTTTCTCAGCCTCGAGAAGTTTACACTTTCGCCACTATGTGTATGGTTGGTAAGCGATGACAAATTGATCAGAGGTGCAACACTTGGTCGACCATGTGCACATTGGAACGGCAGCTTACATTTAGAGAGGGACTGTATCATTGACTGGCACTGAGCCAAGGATAACGGGTCACCAAATTTGATTGCACCATGACATGCATACGAACACAAAACGTTGTGTATCGAGTGTGGAATCACATGGGCATGTAACGAGTTTTCTTGGTATCTTTCAATATGGCTATACAGCAATTCTTTCATTGTCGAATTTTCTAAGACACATTTAGCATCATCTCCCGTCTTGCCCATCTTTTTTACAAAAATGGCAGGCATTTTGGTTATTTTAAGGTCAATATGCATTTTATCATTCTGTTGGAATTCGCTAATAATTGCATATTCTACGCCTATTCTTTGAAAGGAGCTTTTCAGGTTTCTAAAGTTGAGATCAGATCGAATTGTTATATTGAGATGAACTGGCGAGCTGAAAGACTCTGACCTAACGCTGCCACTAGATTCCTCAACATCCTTCAAAAATTCATCTTCAAGTTGTTCGAGCCTGATTCTTTCATGTGCTGCATGTTGATCGATGAGCACCAAAATGGTTGATTCATCCTCCTTTTCTCTCAACAGCATCATCAGACATGCAATGAACTTATTATCAACTTGACCAATCACTTTAATATTTTCAAGGTCTAGTTTTGAAAATACCAAAGCTTCTGACCCTTGTTTAAACCCTCTTTGCCTAGGTAACGTTATGTTTAATTGTGCTTCCAACGTCCTGTCTTTAGAAACTCCAATGACAGGGTTAACCCAAGAATCAAAAAATCTCTTGAAAACAGGATCTTGATGGCTTGAGGATCCTGTGTGAAAGTTTGCAAGATGCGAAAGTTTCTTCTTATGCTGGTTATCACTCTCATTTATTGGAGTAAAAGTCCCTCCTTGGCGTTCTTTTTCTCTTTCAAAAATTTCAAACGGAGCGAAATGTTTAGCTTCTAGCCCAGTTTTTATCTTTGAAAAACAAACTTCTTCTTTTGCCATTTCATTTCTGAACATACTGAAACCATTATTTGAACTTACTTGGATTATTCTTCCTGTAAGCGGATCAAATCTTTTTTGCTTTTCTGCATCGTCATTTTTGGCCATTTCATTCGTTCTTCTTGTTTTTGGCCCTTGTATTTCACGTGCCCTTCCAACTGTGCACTAACTGCACTTTAAAGGTATTTCCACTTACCAGCAAGAATCCTCTTTGCCCAGGTTCTCTTGAAAACTTCAACGTATCAACGGTTGCACAATTGTCTCTAAGCAACCGTTCAAGTAGCTTTATTGTTGGGTATTTCTTTCGCGACTTCAAATATCATTTTCATGATATAAATGGAATTTTGGACAACCATTTTTTATCAAGCAGAAGGTATCGTCACTTCTTAATCAAATTTTATGCATTTTTTTCATATATTATATGTTTGTCTGTTTGCTTTGCACTAAAATAAATCAATCCATGGCTGCCAGGCCATTCAACATGGTCAACAGTCTCCATAGAAACGATGTGAGCCTTTTGGATCCCTGTGCTCGAAGCGCGCGAAAAGAGACAAAATGGAGGCTAACAGAAGTAGGCAAATCAACCTCGAAAGACAAAACTTCAGATTAGAGATTTCCGAAATTGTATGGAAAGGTAATGGTTATTGGTTTTCTTTTTCAGTTTTGCCTGGAATTTTAATAGTATTTTGGAGCTGTTAGCAACAGCAGACTTTTGATTTGTGATGTCAGCATCAGGTATGCATACCTATACCAAGATAAAATAAGGAACTAAGATACACTGGGGTCACAAAAGTATGGAAACTGTGTTGAAAATGGTGGCTCACAGAAACCAAGGGCCTAAGCCGACAGGTTTTTGAAACAGAAGTTCAGCGCTAAGGGGTTTTTGTAACGAAATTTGAAACAGAAGTTCAGCACCATGAAATTGTTTGCGTAATTCCAATGGCTTTTGAATCAAAATAAATTTGAAAGATTACCTTACTGTTTTGTGAGTAAAAAGTCATTGAAGGAGATTCTTTCATTAATTTCAAAAGGATAATAAACTTTGTACGTTTTGCTTTAATGTTTTGAATGTCATGTGCTTAGATAATGAGTAAATCAATTTAAGATAAACAAGTCAGAAACATCAAATGTAGAGCAACTCACCTTGTGTCAGCATTTAAACTTTAAAAGTAAAGTGCACTGCCAACATCACTTTCTCAGTTATAATATTTCCATGAAAAGAAACTTTAAGCAGTTCGCTTCATATTTTAACAGTTTTCGTTTATCTTTCTTCAATAAAGTGACACTTTGTGGTCATATTTTATGAATAACCAGAGAATCTTTTACAGAATTGTTTTGAAGCAGTGCTTCAAAGTTTTGCTGAACTTTTCCCTCCAAAATTTTTCTGCCATAACCTATTGTTTCCAAGCCCTTTCGCCTCATAATTCTGATTTTAAAATTGGTTGGCTTAGGCCCGTGGTTTCTGTGAGCCGCCATTTTGACCTACTATTTCCATGCTTTTGCAACCCCAGTGCAAAGTCTAACTAAAGCTCTTGATTTATCTCCCTTTTCGCATCTCGATTTTCAGTGGAACAGGCTCTGTTATCTGAAACAAGACTGCCTTTGACAAGAGCAAGCCTTTCTGAGGCGAATGAGCCGTTGCTCTTCCATTTATATCATGCGTTTTAGTGTTTTAGTACAGTTTCTAGCCACTTCTCCTTCACCAACTTTCGTGTTTTGTATGCCCTTTCCAAATTAACAAATAAAAGCATTATCTTACTTTCTTACCCCTTATTTACTTACTTATTTACACACTAACTAATCATAAAACATCATAAGTTTGCTTCAAGCATGTTTAGTCTAAGATACTCAAAACTTCACTGCATTTTCCCAAAAAGCTGTTTTCAGCAATTTTTGCAAAGCATGGTGATTGCACATGCAAGATGCTGAGGGTGCACCTAGAAACTAGATCTATTAGTTAACATACTAGAAAAGTTGATATGGCTGGCACATCTTATGTTTTCTGATGATTTTGCACACCTGCAACTAACATGCATACCTGGTTGTAGAAATTTTGGCAGGAGGTTGTTGAATCGCTCTACTGTTGAATCGAGTCAGAAAGGTGATTTTCAAAAAATGTAAAGTTTATCAATGAATTTTTCTGGATGCATTTGTAAAAGCACAAACAAGTTAGAAAGAAAATAGTCTTGATAACAAAAAAGGAAATTATCTTTCAAGTACTTTCTGCAACTGAACCAAATGGATAAAAAGCTCTATCTATTGTGTTTTTTAATCGTAAAACTCATCCTAACTCAAATTTGATTCTTATTACTTAATTCCTACAAAATCCTCTCTGCTCTTCCATTTTAAAAAGCTCTTGCCATGGTTTTCAGGCCAAGATGAGTAAAACATGAAACTTTGACTTGAAACTCTTCTCAAACATTTTCTGAAACTGTTTCCATTATGGAGTTTTATGATAACACTGTTAACACACTTACGCATGGAAGGGTGGAAATATGGCATTTGAAAACACACTTACCCTTGTTTGGCTTCAGCATAAACATTTCTCTTTGAACATCAACAGCGCAAACTAAAGTTAAATTTGTTTTTGAGTTCCTGGTGTCATGTACTATTTAAATCAATGTGATATAATTTCATTATGTATTGTTCTGTCTGCGACATAGTCTTATGCAAAAGAGATAAAGCATGTTTTTTCTCCAGTTTTATTAAATGACAAAATGTCCCTTCCAATGCTGAGGGTCAGGCCAGATCAAACATGTGCATGATGGGACAATTTTGTATTCGTTTACAATGTTTAAAAGTTTTTTGAAAGCAGACAGGTTTTTTTTAGGATAGACAAAATTTTCTGATAAATTTTTAAATATTTGAATATGAAAAGGCAGGCTCTTGAAAAACCATTTCCGACTTAACATTAACATTTGGAATATGACGCTCAGTATTTGTATGTGATCAATTTAAGCAAGCTGGTCTCCCAAATAAATAAACGTTTAAGATGTGACAAATGTGTTTAGCTTAAAGTGCTAATAAAAATGCAAGGTGGGCAGTAAATGTAAAAATTTGTGGAGAGGAGGGCAATTAATCTTCCTTCTCACATGATCTAAGAGGGCGTTGAGGCACAGGCAGCAGATTGCCTGCCTCAGACAGCCTGGTCTGATGTACAGGGCACCCAAGATGTTGTCATAATTGATCATTTTTTGCAAAATTTGTTTTTGATAACTTTTGCCAGGGCATAATCATAAAAAGTGTCATCCTGACTGAGTTTACCTTGAAACTTTCTGTTTATACTGCTTTATTATTGTAAAGTAATTGTAAAATTTGGGCTAATCTGTGTCCACAAAATGAAACAAGTATCTGTACATGCCATTTTGTTGAAGTATAAGAACGTTCTACTTTCAATAATTATTAGATTGGATTGGAAAATATTATTAAATTGGAAAATGACTTACTTGAAATGATAAAAGTCAGTGTGATATCAGAAATTTAGGCTGATAAGACAACTAAGTAATGTCACAGATTGTTCCAAAGACTTAATTAAAGCAATAGGAAATAAATATTTAAAGGGCCTAAAGGATTTAGCCAGTGTCAACTTTTTGTGTAAGTATATGCAAAATGGAAATATTGTTTATCTGTAGCCAGACTGTCCTTCCTACCATTCGCGAGGTTGATTGCAAGTCAATCGTTTTGGGTGCAACTACATAGCACATAAGTTTTGCAAGGCTTGCTGCTTTTTTGGTTCACATTCTTGAATATTTTACTTACTCATGTAGTAGGTGTTTATTTTCTTGTAATTCCAGGCTAGCCAGTTTAATTGCAAGTTACCCTTGTAATTGCGAGGTTTGCAATTGTATTAATTGTTGGTGCTGTATAAATCCTAATAGTGTTTATTAACTCATTCATTAAAGCTCACATGGAGTGACTGAACTCTTTATGACTGTTGCTCCTGATAGTCTGTTATGCAGAAGTTATGCTTAAACAGCAAGTGAACATAACTACTTTCCAGTTTTGTAGCCATAATAGTTTTTTGTGTTTCGTAATAATAAGTGTTTCTCTCCTAATTTATGCCATGCAGCTTCTATTGAAGTTGCAGCATATAAAAGGCAAGGTGTTGGTTTTAAGCGGTTTGTGAAATATGGCCTTTACTACTGAGATTTCAACGAAAGCCAGCAGAATTCATAAGGCGGTGATCGGGTTTTAATCCTATTTTAGGTGAATTACTGACGCTGCTATTTAATTTATTGTTGGTTAAACAAGAATTTGGAAAGAAAGCCGAGCTCCTGACCTCCGCACTCTGAAAAATCGCTTAATTTTGCCCGTTGTATTTACTTTTCCTTATATGGATCGAAAGTGTCAGTCTCATTTCGGGTCTTTTTTAAATTCCAATCGTTATGGCACTGCATAGCTTAACTTGGAAAGTCTAGTTTTCTTTGTATGTTTTCACATATGCTTTTCGACTAATCCTTTCGCTCGTTTGGAGAATGTGAGCCACACCCTCGTACAATAATGAAAATCAAAGAAACTTTGTTGACGTTTAGAGATATCCATTGCACCAACAATTAGGCATGTTATATAAAAAAGGGTCAAGATTTGTTTTTTTGTTTAAATTTTGTCCGGCAACGTAATTATTGAAATTCCTGCAAGTAAAGTTTGAGATAATCAACTAGTTATATTTTCCATTGTCGATTTAGTTTTAACAATTGGAACGCCTATCCGACACAAGCATGTGTGCATTTTAGATCATATCGTGGCATTAGACTACGGATTCAAAGAGTCGCCATAGCTTTGCACTGACCCGGGGTATTATGCACAGTTCAGTGGAACATGTTACGATGCCGACAATCGACGTGCAAATGGTGTTTGTCTTATGCGAAATTCATCCGCAGATCAGACTGTTTATCTCCTCTTGTTTAGGGCGTATGATCTTAGTGGATATACATCATAAATATTTTTAAACAAACTTTGGAAGGAAGAGAATGAATTTTTGTCGGTGGAGTTTTTGCACCACGCCGCTTCTTCACTACCTATGATTAGGCCAGTTAACACAAGCCAATCTTAATAAGTTCCAACATTTATGTACATTCCAAAAGAAAAAAAGATCTTTGTATTCCTTT